GGTGAGGAGTCTCTTAAAGTCACACTGATGGCGTGGGTGTGCATAATGTGAATTTGAAACACAGTGTGGCTGTTTCCAGCCCCACATATCATACATACTGTTAATGGGACACCTCATGTTGAGTGATTTGCTGCAGTGAATTGTCAAGGGAAAGTGAAAGAGAAATCAAAGCTCTGCAACTCTGTAGACCAGTTATTGAAACAGACTCTCGACAGGCTCCCAGTTATTGAGCAGTGGGCTGAACGGCAAGAATATCACAGTAGAGCCTACATGTCAAGGTTCCCCTAACACTTTTATTAAATGTACTTTGTTCTTAAGAAGAAATGCAAAAAACATTGATATGGAAACTTAAAAACGTTTCCTGAGTGAAATGAAATCTGTACTGTTTTTGTTTTCAACACAAAGGGGGTAGTGGTGGGTATCATTTGTTGCACACTTGTTTTACAAAGATTCTTATTTTTTACAGTAAATAAGGCAGATACAGTATTGCATTGTAGACAAATGTGGTAACATAAACAGATCTTCATCACTGTAGCCTAACAAATTGTAACCTTCTGGAGGTATCTTCGATATTAGCAATCAGATTTGGCTCTAGGAACCTTAAACTTTATTTTCTTTTGATTTCAAGTGTGTGTGCCTTGAAGTTAGATTAATACAAACTGTTAATAATTCAGGCCTCGGTAGAGAAAGGTTTCTGCTTTCTAAAGTCACTACATTTCTAAAGTCAAATAAAAGAAAATATTGTAGGCTGGCTACTCCTGGTCTGAGAAAATGCACAGTCAGGATATTTAAAGTGTTTTCACTTGACTGCTTCATAAAATGAGACGTATAATACATTTCACCATTAGAATTTACTGTAAGAAAGGGTACAGATGTCAAGTAATCAGTGCCTCTTTTCCTTATTCCTTTGCAACTGGTTTATTGATCAAAGGATTTAATCCAGACATTTCTGGAAGGAACCCAGGAACTCTGCTTCACAGCATGGCTGGGCAGTGTGTTCCACACCCCCACACCTCTATGTGTAAAGAATTTGTGGGGGGTCTTCAAGTCTTTGTTTCACTAATAATCCCGAGGTAGTTCAGTAAGTTAGGTTAAAGGCATTTAAGCGGAAATCAAGCCTTTTACATGTTTTAAAACATTTATTATATTCAGTCCTTTAAAACAGTTTTCATAGACAACCACAGCATCTTTTTCTAAGATGGTAGTGTCATGACGAATTCCAAACCTGCCTGTTTTAGTTTGTAAAATGTGTCCATAAAACCACTCAAGCTTAAAATGGGTTACAGACTGTTTCCCGAGTCTTCCAAATGATCTTGTAATCTGACTCTGACCTCCACTGTTAAACAAATGAATAGTGCATAACCCTAGTAATGTCATTTTCAGAATTCTCCATCCATTCAGGTACTTTAGAACTGTTTAATTTCAAATCTCACCACAGCAGTTATAGCTAATGCCAAGAATAATTTGTTCATCTGAAGAAAAACCAAAATGTGAACCTCTGCATTTCACATAAGTACTTTTTGAGGACAAGTTCCAAGGACATGGTACAAAGCCAAACAATCTCTTGGTCAGTAAAACAACCATAAATATTTTACTAAGATTATAGGATCGAAGCAAGAAAGTAGTGAAGTAAAAGCGCTCTGTTGCCCCAGCTAAGGTTTTAAATACCATTACTTGCACTCTGTCAGCAGGATTGCTTTAAACTGGGTAATGCAACAGCTTAAAAGTGTTGCAGTGAAAGAAGAGTGTCTCTGCATTTGTGCCTTGTTGCAGGAAAGCAGTGTGGAACAGTGGTTAGGGCTCATGACCTGGAACTAGGGAGGTTGTGGGTTCGATTTGTTGGTGCTCGGCCATTTTATAAATAAATACATGTTTTCATGAGATTGATTTAAAGAGTTTTTCCTCGTGTTTTTCATAACAGAAAGCAAATAAATTAACATGTAAGAACATATCCAATTACGAAGCACTATCATAGAATAGTTTCCCGTAGCTATTTTTGAAGAGATGATTTTCATTCCGGGGTCTTTAATTCTGCCTTTTGTACTTTTTTTAAGGTGCCTTTTAAAATCCTGCGTAAAAAATCTAAAACCTCTTTTTTAAAGAAGACGTCGAATGCTTCATCTGTAAAATACCTTTGATTAGAACCACACAGTAATGCTTTTAGAAGTACAGTTTCCTAAAGCCTAACATCCTGACAGTCTTTTTCCTTTAACAGACTTGGTTTAACAAACTGCGGTAGAGTGTACTGTCAGTTGGTAAGCGCAAAATGCTTTGTCATGCTTGATTTTGCAGATGGTTCTCTGAGCTTTTTTTTTTGAGGTTTACAAAACATTATGCGTACTATTGCGCATTATTGAACATGGCATGGGTGCCAGGAGTTACAAGGCTTAAAATAACACAGACCACACACCCAGGGGATCATGGGAGCTCAGCAGGGGGTATGGGTGCGAAGTCTTCATCTTCCTGTCGCACAGAGTGTTGTTTCTGGTGCCCTGTATGTCACGGACGTCCAAAGGGACTAACCGTGGGGAGCAGGAGAGCGGAAAAAGACCCATATGCGTAGCCGGGCTCATTAGTGCAAAGAGTTCAGGAATGCCGTATAGAAACCTATGCCCTCAGGGAGCGGACGTGGGGCGCCCTGGTGCTAGGCGGGTCTCAGGACATCCGAACCTCAATGCTGAGCGAGGACAGAGTGCAAGACCCGGAAATATATAGCCCAAGGGAAAGAGAGGGACAGGAAGGACAGCAGACCGGAAACTAGGGGCAGGACAGAGAAGGAGCGCCCTCTGGCTGCAGAGGGCGTGACACTGTAGTCTGCACGTTAGTAGCCAGGGGAGAGGTCTGGGTTTCAGGTTGGAGGGCCTTGAGTGTGGGGAGTGACTGCTGTGCACTCCTCCTGACACCTTCATGGTTGTGAGCTCAAGGCGTCTTTGAGATGGTTCGCCTTTCGAACCCAGACAGAGAAGGGCACTGGAAGGGTAATTGCCGTGTTTTTTTTTTCACTGCAGCTGTAACACTAACCACACAGTAGTCATTTCAGAAGAGAAAATAGAACAAGCAGCACGTGATGGAATTTCAGATGTCAGTCACTGAAGTTGTTGTTCTTGGTGAATGTCTCTTCCTATTGCAAAACTTGAGATGGGCTTGGCGGGGGATCAATGATTCCAGCGCGCTGAGGTATGCAAGGTCATCCACCCACACAAGAAGCCGTGTTTCATATATCGTCTGCGCTTTTGCTGCTATTTCAACCCTTGCTCTTAACACATCCCAGTTTCTACAATAGCTGCTTTCCCTTCAAACTAAAACGGCTTCCACTGGAAATAAAACTATTCTTGAAACTCATTTCGACCAAACAATGAAAATGGCGTCACACACTGCTCTTAAGCCCGCTGGTGTCCTTTCCATTCTTATTCTCTCTCGTGATATCTTTTTTTGCAAGTAGATTTAATATTACCCTGAGAGACGTCCTATACAGAAACAACTTAAAAGAGACATTGAAAAGGCAAGCGTGATCTAAGGTAAAAAAATATGCCATTTATAATGAGGCTTTTTGTTTACCAGCAGCAGTGGGTTTCGAACCCTGGTCGTGGATTTTCCACTCCTAATGCTCAGTTCTCTTTTATTTTTCTCTTGCATCACACCACTTCAGTGATTATCATCCACACCTGTTTCCAGTAATCCTCAAAACTTCAATGTAAACCAGCTTCCCTCTTCACTCACTGCTCATTTGTGAAGTTTGCTTCAGCCTCAACTTTCGCTCTGCTCCTGTTGTATTTCCTGCCTTTGGTTTTGACCCTCTCCTGTTCCTGACTCCGACAAATGTATTTTTCTCTTGGATTTGACCTCCGCCTGATTTTTTTTACTTCATCACGGCCTCGTGTTAGTGTTCATGTTTCCCGGAGTCTGACCCATACCTATCTCCACTGCTGGCCGATGCTGTCACAGAATCCTACTTAACCATCTCCGCAAGCTTCTGAGCATTGTTCACAAACACCTCCTGTTACTGGGAGGTATACAGCATATGTGGGTCCAGCCCAGACGCACTGGGGTTGGAATACCACCTGTGTCAGGGGCCCTGACTGTGATAAAGATGCAGAAGGAAACTGGGAGCGCAATCAGATCCAGCTTTTACTATCAAATGCCCTCTATTTCCCCTCTACCAAGGATTTGAATCATTATCCACAAGCAAGGGCCTTGACCTGATTATAATTCAATGGCAATGCCACACGTGGAACATCCTGAAATTTAAGAGCTATATTTTGCGATTTGACTTAGACACTGTTGGCTAGAATTTTACAAATCAAGATTATACTTTGTATGTTGCCATTTGAGAAAGGTACCTGCCAAAAGGAATAATTAATACTAAAATTGTTAGAAAGTCCTGTAGTTGTCCTTCACAATGAATCTGAGAATTAAATGATGGGCAATCGATTTCTCTTTCACTTAATTCTTGAGGTTAATTTCTGTAAAAGGCCAGAAAAAAAGCACGAGGAATTATTCAAGTTGTAATTGTTCTGCTGAAAATGATAATTACTATGCTTGTGACAATGACACAACCTTTTTTCCATGGGCCATGAAATTTGTGGTTAATACTTTATCAGAATGTTCCAACAATGATAATAGCACTTTATGTCCTTGCTATGAAGATGAAAAACAATGTCAAATAGAATTACATATTTATTTTGGTATAAATTCTAAGTATTTCTTTGGTTGATATAGAACTTGGTGTTAGTTGGAATAATGCTGAATAATACTGCAAGTTGACTCGTGTCAACTTCTGAATATGTGTTGTATAATCCCATTAATAAGTCCCATTACTGTGCTGCCAGATATGTTCAGTTTTATTTTAGAAGGGCAGCCTTTCTCAAAGTTATCATGGGATATGGGTCTTAGAGTCGCACTTAAATAGAAGCTATGTGAAAATCTGAAAGAAGGTTCTGTCAGAATTGGAGATACGTCATCATGCGCAGTGACCCATACTTCTGTTTACTCTCCTGCAGGGATGGTGCAGAAGCTGGACCAGAAACTTCCTGTTGCCAATGAATACCTCCTGTTATCCGGCGGTGTGCGCGAAGGGGTCGTGGACATGGACTTAGATGAGCTCAACGTCTATGCCAGGGGCACAGACTACGACATGGACTTCACCCTGCTTGTCCCAGCCCTCAAGCTGCACGACCGCAACCAGCCTGTCACCCTTGACATGCGCCACTCTGCCCTCTGCCACTCTTGGCTGAGTCTGCGGCTCTTCGACGAAGGGACCATCAACAAGTGGAAAGACTGCTGCACCATCGTGGACCACATCAATGGGGCAACCAACTACTTCTTTTCTCCAACCAAAGTTGCAGACTGGTTCTATGAGTCTATCAGCGTGGTGCTGGTGGAGATCCAGAAGAAGCCACAGAGAGGGATGCCCAAGGTGGAGAAGGTGGAGAAGAATGGCACCATCATCTCCATCATTTTGGGGGTGGGCAGCAGCCGGATGTTGTATGACATTGTTCCTGTGGTGTCCTTCAAAGGTTGGCCAGCAGTGGCCCAGAGCTGGCTGATGGAAAACCATTTCTGGGATGGCAAGATCACAGAGGAGGAGGTCATCAGTGGCTTCTATCTGGTGCCTGCTTGTTCCTTCAAAGGTAAGAAGGAGAATGAGTGGCGGCTGTCGTTTGCCCGGAGCGAAGTACAGCTCAAAAAGTGCATTTCCAGCAGCCTCATGCAAGCCTACCAAGCCTGTAAGGCCATCATTATTAAACTTTTATCTCGACCTAAAGCCATTAGCCCTTACCACCTGAGAAGCATGATGCTTTGGTCATGTGACAGACTTCCAGCTAGTTACCTCTCCCAGGAAGACTTTTCAGCACATTTCCTTCTCGGCCTCATAGATGACCTCCAGCACTGTCTAGTCAACAAGATGTGCCCCAACTATTTCATCCCGCAGTGCAACATGCTGGAGCACCTCTCGGACGAAACCGTGATGTTGCATGCCCGCAAATTGTCTTCTGTCCGGTCTGACCCAGCTGAGCACCTGAGAACGGCCATCGAACACGTCAAGGCGGCCAACCGGTTGACCCTGGACCTGCAGAGACGCGGCAGCTCGTCCAGCATCCCTTCCCCGCAGTCGGATGGCGGCGAGAGCCAACCGGATGATCGACTGGCAAAGAAACTCCAGCAGCTCGTTACGGAGAACCCGGGAAAGTCCATCTCGGTGTTCATTAACCCCGATGATGTCACGCGGCCCCATTTCCGAATCGATGACAAATTCTTCTGAGCCCTTTTGTTGCTTTTCTATTTTGCGTTCTCGTGATGTTTGTTCTAGAACGTTGTGAAGTACGGTGTACTGTGTCGGTGTCCCGTTTTTGTTCCTGAACCCGGCAGAGAGTGCTGGTGCTGGGTTTCAGAGACTGAGAGAGCGCGAGAGACTCTGTGCCTGCAGGGGGCAACGTGTGTTGCTCCGGAGCGATCCGCTGGTAGCGTAATTCAAGTCCAATTCGACGACAGTTCAGCCAGAAAAGACTTTTAAGGGGGAACAACAAATGCATTGTACAATATCCTACAGTGATTGTTTTTTTGCAATTTTTGTGAGGAATGTCTTACTAACTTTTGAGCCATTTGAAAGTATGCATAGCACACGTCAATGTACAAAGAAATGGTGTGGTGGGCGAAATCTCTCCCATATTCTGTGGAATGTTGTACACTTTACAAACACTTTAGCTTACTCTTAGCCCTTTTGAACATGGAGAGGTTCGCTGGGAATGAGCTACTTGCTTTAAGGATTCAAGCAGTTTTTTTCTGCATGAAGCTTCTCTGAGGCAAGGCGTAGCAAATCTGGGTAAAAGGTGAGAAATTTAAATTACACTCTCAGTAAGCTTTTTCCTCCTCACATAATCCTATCTGTTTCTCTTTCTGTTTGTGTGTAGTGTCTTTGTGTGAAGTGAACACTTAGAGTACATGCCAAAAACGCAATTGAATCTGGCTAAAGGAGCGACGCCTGTCATAGCTCCATTTACAAGTGCAATTAGACCGTTCGGGTTTTTAAAAAAACACACACATGGCCTAAATATAGCTTTTCCTTTAATCAAAAGATTGTGGTTGATTAACTGCTTTGAATGGCAGCTTGTGTGGAAGTATCTGCTATATTACATAGATTTTAAAGTTCTCCTTTTAAAGTTGTAAGAAATTGTGCTTCATTTCCATGATAAGTATACATGAGGATGCTCATTCTGTCTGTGCACTGTAGTTCATTTTTTGCGGGTCTTTAAAACACTTGACATGAAACCTTAGATGTAATTCCCATGCTATTTATTTGCTGCTATTCAGGTCTAAGATGAATAAAGTTATATGATGCTGTTTAATTATGCAAATTCCTTTAATAAAAAGACATCACGCATATAAATACAGCTTGGACCAGTGTTTAGCTTACTGTGTATATTGTGACCTTTACATAGAGGACTTAGGACAAGAGATCTGCACAAGGTGAGAATTTGCCACATTGTAGCAGGAAGCTGATGAGGAACCTAAATCCTTTCGACTTCATTCATCCAGTTCCCAAGAACTATAATGAAAGATGAGTTTTATATATATATGTAAATAAAGTGACACTGTAATAAAGGGAATTCATATGAGACTACTTGTGGATTTATTGTGCTCCATTGTTTGTAATGAAAAAGATGTGTTAAAAATGACAAAAAGACATTGGCCTATCTTTTCTCCTTTCCATCCATCACTCTCAATATAAAGAGTGTTGTACTGTGGTATACCGTGTATATTAGCTAATGAAGGGAGGAGAAGAGCTGGAGACTATTTCTAATGCATGAGAATATTTGTAGAAAATGATTTTATTTGACAATGGTGCCTCCAAAACCTTGGTTCAACCTCTAAAATACTTTTATCTTAACAAAATGTGATCTGGGTAAAGAAACATTATATTTTTTACATGCTTTTATATAGATTATTCATTTTGTTGTCCTGTAAACCTGAGAAATTAGACCTTTTCAGAGACCAAACTATGATCCTTACAACACTTACTTAAAACATCTTTTCAAAATGAGGAAAAAAAAAGCTATAGGCCCCAGCAAAAAAGGTGTTTTTAGGTGTGGAAAAAGTCAGATCTTCTGAGTTTCAAACAAAAGAGGTGCTGAGCCTCTCCTTTCCTGAAATGCCAGCTAGGAATTCTTCTAAGTGGTCAACTGCATTATGCAGCTTGCTATTGGAAGCCTTAGCAGAGACGTCAGCCTAAAATGATAACCACAAAAAAACACCTAACTGCATGAACAGGTGAGTGGGGATTGCCTCTGTTGTGACTGGCCCGTGCAGTCATAGAGAATGACTATACTGTAGGCTCAGAGGTTGGGCGCGGTGACCGCCTGGGGGATACTAGAAGGCTGATGTTTATTGAAGTCCAGAGGAAAGCAGGGCCAACCTTCTGAACTTCCTTTTTGAGCTAAGCAGGAAATTAGAGTGGGAAATCCCATCTGCTATCGGAAGGTTGTTTATTCCAGCTTAGGGTCACTGGTAGCTCAAGCATATCTCAATTCTGTATGTTATTTGGCCTGCAGTACTCTTCACATTCCGATAAGGACCAAATCAACAATTCCTAGAGACCTGAAACAGTTGCTCTGTGATTAATTAAATGGGAAAATTTAGAGATAGAACAAAAATCAGAATATCTTTCAGTTGTCATTAATTTGAGTTCACTTAAGACAAATTGACCACATTGATTTCAGGTGACCTTCAAAGGCTAACTGGCTGTGGCTCTACAGGACTAACTGTTCAATGTTTTAACATTAGAGACCTCTGTGTTAGGGCCTTATGAGGGTCCTGTTTGAGGAGTTGCCCACCTAGGCATCAGTCAGGAAAGTAGGTAAGGCAATCCTATGGTTTGGTTTTTATTAAAAAATCCTTTTTTATTTAAATTTTTTTTTTAGTTTGTAACACTTCGATATTTGTGATCACTTTTAAAAATCAGTGTTCCTGTAGTAATAGTATAACTTCCTCATAACAAAACCACTTATTTTACTTTGCTGTGCAAGTTATGTTTTCATTTTAATTATGATTGGACAGCAGCATTTAAAAGAACTTTATCTTCTATGTCCCACATTCATATTTACATATAAAGTAATTCCCAACTGGAAAAAAAAATGGTTTTACCCATTCCAGAGTGTTCATCATATCTTCTAAGATTTATCGAGTTGATAATGTCAGCTATGAAGGAATTAATTAAAACTAGGAGTTTAATTTAATAGATTAATTTACATGCATTGTAAGCAGCTGATTCCATTTCAAATGAAAATGCAAACAAGGCCTGTGTTTCCGTTTCTTTTTCTGCTTGGAGTTCTCCAATCAAGGTGTTATTATTTAGCCCAGTTTTGGGATTTGCAGTCTGGGAGGCGTGAGTTTGTGTTCAGCATTAAATTAAGTCTATACTGCCTCAGAAAAAGAGCTTGTGTGGATTGGCGAAGTGGTACGTTGTTGAGGAGCCAGCCTGATGATGTATGAGGTTTAAGGCTCAGCGGTGCTGTGCCTGTTACGGAGCTGACATCGCCCTCTTCAGTCCTGCAGCTGCAGACCTGGTCTTGTGGGTGCAGCGGAGTCTGCCCGTGTCTGGGGCGTGGCACAGACTGGATCATGAGCCACTGGGGTGGGGCCCGCGGGGGACAAAGTAGACCCCGTTACAGAAGTATTCTTGAAACAGGCACCCATCATCGAAGCCCTTAAGTCAACATGGAGGGAGGGGGTGTAAATGTGAGTCACAAAGTCAGTACTGCACCTTTTATGGCTGCCATTAGCCTCCGTGACTACAAAGTGTCTGCATGTCCTACAGACATGCACCAGCTAGCTGATGTCACTGCCCTCTGAAGGTGATGACAGAGGTGTGTGATCCCGTTCCATCTATCCTGTGCTGATGTTGGTACCCATGGACATCTCGGAAATGCACTAATACACTGAATATGGGGTGATCCAGTTTGAAACCTACCCAGCGTTTTATTCCACTCATCGCTGGGCGATTGTGCCATCATCACAGGTGGAACAGAGTTAGGACAGCTCTTCTTGTGAAGAAGGTCTCTTTTTTTATTGCTGTTCCTGCACAAGTTGCCTTGTCCTCACTGTAAATGTGGTCTTCACTTTTTCACGTTCAGTTCAAGGAATTAATAACATGATATATCTACAGTAGATGTGTTCTTTTTGAACTGAAAATAGTAACAATATGTACATTTGCAGTATTTCCCTTTTTATAGTATTTGACAGTGAAAGATCACTATCAAAGCTTTTTACACTCCGCACTAATCACCAGCATGCCATGTCCTTTCACTTACATAATCTATTGTTTATGTGTCTCTTCCCATTTAATCCAGAGTTCATTCAACGTGTATTTCTAGGTTCTACATAATTATTGGGTCCCATACCGGTTATAGGTGTTCGACTCATTTTTTCATTCATTTCACTTGTGCATTATGCTTAGTATTCGAGACCTTTAGTGCTAAAAACAGATATGCATAACTCCTCAATTACTGCTGATGCATCTGTTTACATTGTTGTATAAATCAATTATTTTTAAATCCAATGACACAAGGCTTTTTCCCCTGCTTTGGTGTATTAAATATACATCACAGAAGACAAATAATCCTTTTTGGATTTTTACAAATTAACTGTGTTTTTTAATTAATAAAATACATTCTTTTAGACTGGGGAAGGGAGTTTAATTGCATGATCCCTGTTTAAATTCACATTACATTTCCAGTTTTAAATATAACTTTAAATAAGCTTTGGTTTATAAAACACAGTAATTTTACAATTGCGATATTACCATATTGTTTAAATAGGTGCACATTTAGTTCCTACATTCTGTATAACTGTTTAGTTTATAATTTGTAAATCAAATGGAAAAAAACAAACAAAATGTAAGTATGGCCTGTACTTTTACAGAAGATTTATCTTCTTTAAAAAACAAATTCTTCTAAATGCTTCAGAATATAGGGATAATTCATTTTTGGTCCTTTTCTGTATTTATTGGTCCTTAGACGTACTGCAGTATTCATTATAATTTGGAGTACTTTACCATTTTCTTTTTTACACTATGCCTATGAATATTACTCAGACAGGAGTTTAGAAATTAAAAACCTCATCTTTACGAACAATGAAAGCTTCGCACACAAGACTCCAGAATGAAAAATTAGTTGTTTGTTTTTTGTTCAGAACGTTAGAGAAAAAGCTTCAACTACGCAAGGGAACAGTAAAGAGCATTAGGAGCTCAAATGATGCATGCTTTAATAACCTTACTGCGCTGGCCCTGCATCAGAGATCAACAGAAGCACTGTGTTTATCTCTATCTTTGCCCTGTGAGAACAGAGCACCAAGCTATGTGACTCTGTGATTCAGGGAAAACTTCATAAAGCGTTAAACTTGATGATATTGAAGTCTCATCTGAATTCACCAGCACCCTGCTTTGTGCTCTGTATCTTGCCTAAAATCTTTATGTACTTTGATAACTCATTTACTGCTGTCTGTATTTCTATCATCTCCACAGGCTGCAGGTGGAGAGACAGCTCTAATGTATTTTTAGTTTCTGCAATATTGGCAACAAATTTGTATCTGGGGAAGTGTTTGACTTTCTGAGCTTTTTCTCTTGGGAAGCATCATTTCATGGAAACAATTTTTGGGGAATGTTCTAAGTGAGAAAGTGACGATTTGATTTAAAAATAAAATACAGAGCATTGCAATAATGCTTAAGAGAAAAGCTAACCATAGCCTGAATTCACATACAAATGACTTTTTCCCCTTTTCTGCACTTACTGTACCACTGGGGCAGAGCTGACAACTTTAAATCACTGCCTTCATTTCTATAAAACTCCAGGGAAGCATGAAAGAGCTTTGTAGAGAGATGAAAGTACTAGATCTGATTATTAGCTGAGGGAAATTGCTGTAGTCCACTCACGCTGGAAGCTGGGCAGTCCATCTTTGGAATCTGAGACGACTACATGCAATCTAAAGAAACATAGACTGAGAATCAAGATGAGTAGCAGGTAACATAAAGTTTTTTTTTT